ATCCCTGGAATAAAACCATGTGATCACGATGGATTATCTTTTTGATGTGCTGTTAGATTTGGTTTGCTAATATTTTGTTGAGGATTTCCGCATCTGTGTTCATCAGCGATATTGGCCTGAAGTTTTCTTTGTGGTTGTTGTTTCCTTGCTGGATTTTGGTATCAGGGTGATACTGGCTTCATAGAATGAGTTAGGGAGGCCCTAATGACTCCTCTGACTTTTTGGAATAGTTTCTGTAAGATGGGTACCAGCTCTTTTTTTTGCATGGCTGAGAAAATTTGACTATAAATTCATCTGACCCTGGGCTTTTTGTTGGTGATGGTGGTAGGTGTTTTATTAATTTTCAGTTTCATTACTTATTATTAGTCTGTTCAGGATTCAAATAGCATATTTAAGTAGCTCTGAATACAGACACCTGTAGGGTAGGATCAGGGAGGGAGCCATAAAGTGGAAAGAGGGAAAGGCTTAGTCTTAGTTAGGAGATAATGCTGGAATTAAATCTTCAAGAATGAGAAGATGCCAGACAAACAATAAAGTGAAAAGAATGGCTGGCATTTCAAGCTGTGAGAGCAACATAGGCAAGAGCATAGAGGCCTGAGACTACAGTGTATTTGTATTGTTCTGTGTGGCTAAGTATGTCTGGAATGTAGGTGAGCAATAAGGCAGATCATGAAGAGGCCAGAGCCTGAAAGGCCTTGTGTATTTTGCTTAAAATGAAACAGTTATCCTGAAGTTATTGGGATTAGTATTAGAAAAATCCTTCCATGGAAATTTCAGATGGTCTTCATGAAAAGAAGTTAGGCAGCTGCCCCTTTCTCATCAGAAACATGCTCATAAGCCATTTCTTAAAATGAGTCATTTTCAAGGATCATTTCTTCTAGCTGCTGACAGTGAATAAAGTTTCCTCTTATAAACGTCAGATACAGGGGCTGCCTTTTTTTGACCTGAGGTCAGATCTGTCTTAGGGAGCAGCCTGTACAGCTGTCCTTTTTCTACAGTTGGGCATGCCGACTCCTTAATGAGCTCAGAGTCGCCTCTGGCAGGATGCATTTGGTTTATGCGGTGAAGAGAACAGAAAGGAACTCTAGTCTAGCACTCTGTGGTCTGGAGCATAGCACTCTGCAAAGAATCTGGCCCAGTGCATGTAATTAGTAGGGTTTTTTTTAATGTATGAGATCACTGTTGCCACACAAATTCTGATTCTGTGCCCCAATTCTGATAGTTTGTCTAGTGTCTGAGACTCCCAACTCTTAGCACCTCAGACCTGTTTGCTCTGGTGTAAACTTGACAAGTAATTCAAAATTTCTGGACTGGGCACAGTGGCTCATGCCTGCAATCCCAGCACTCTTGGAGGCTGAGATGGGCGGATTGCCTGAGCTCGGGAATTTGCAACCAGCCTGGGCAACATGGTGAAACCCTATTTCTACTAAAATATAAAAAAATTAGCCACACATGCGCCTATAGTCCCAACTACTTGGTCAGCTGAGACAGGAGAATTTCTTGAACCCGGGAGGTGGAGGTTGCAGTGAGCTGAGATTGCACTACTGCACTCCAGCCTGGGCGGCAGAGCAAGACTGTCTCAAAAGTCAATCAATCAATCAATCTGGACTGGAGCCGTGCCTACTTTTGTCAGCCTCAACCATTGGATATGGTTCTTCTTAAGAGACACATTCAAGCATCATTTGCTGTGCTGGGCATTGAGTCTTCTTTCTGAGCCCTTACCTGGTTCCAAGGCCCTACTAGCTTTCTGCCTATCCAAATTGTCACTTTCCCCTACGGTTCTGGGCACCATGTTTCCCTGCCCTTTGATTCCTTTGTGATGTTTGTGATGGGCTCCTCTGATATCACTTTACTTTGAAATTTGCCTCCTTACTTTCTGATTAGCATGTCCTGACTGCTGAAGTGGCCAGCCTCCTAGAATCCTCAGATTCTGCCTTCTCTAGTGATTGAAGGGGCCTTTGTCTGTTCTCTTGACGTCCATCCTGAGAGCTGCCATCGGCCATTGACAGGGAAGCATTTAATAAGAGAATTAGCTTAGGTAGATACAGTGATTTTCTGTAGAATTATTTTGGTCCGCTAAACTAGCTCGTTATTTTTCTTTTCCTGTTTTGTGGCCTGTTTTCAAAAATCAAACGCAAATTGAGATGCTCAAGCTACCTGTCTATATGACACCTTCTTTGATCTTCATGCTCTAAGGTAGAACTGACATCCTCCCTATTTGTGACTACACTGTATACTGAATATCAGATTCCTATGATATTGTCTATGATATTTTGACTGCACTTACATGTCTCTACCTCAGTTACATCCTCTTAGACCATGGGAATCCAGACTGCATATGTTTGTTTTTCTATTTCTAGCATCTGGGTTGGAGTGCTGGGCACGTAGTAAATAGATGTTTCATGGAAGCTGTATGTGACAGCCAGTACCTCATACAAAACTCTGAAGGTTCCATACCATGAGTGCCAATTATCAGACACATGTAAAATACAGGACATTTTTGGAATTTGCAGTAAGTGCAATCAATATAGAAGCTGAATTTTGGTCTAATAGTGATATTACAAAGTGATTTAATGGTGAAAAATAAAGATTTCAGGGGCAAAAATCTTAATACTTTCTGAGGAACTTTGGAATTGATGAGTTTATATATTAAATTCTTTCCTATAAGGACTCTTGGGATAAAAAAGTGTCACGTTGCTGAGGACTGGCTGATGCTTACCTGGGAATGCTATATGGAAATGTGAATGTTGGGACTTAATTTCCTCATCTGTAAAACAGAAAAGTTGAATTAGCTTAAACTCAAGGATGCATCTAGCTTTTACTGTCTCTTTGTGTACAAACCTGTGTATAGACATATACCTGTTAGGAGAAAGTGCTTTACAAAGTATGGGAGTGAATGACAAATCTGTCTTCCTCTATCTTTGTAGTGTGAAACCTTATTTGAATAATTCTTACTTTATTTTAATTATAATTCCAGACAGCAAAGTTATATTGACAACTTTCATATATGTAAGAAACAAGCAATAACTTTCAAATTGAAGTTTATTGCTTAGAAAACAACCTAATTTTAATACTGAAACTAAGAGAACATTTTCAAAATACGTGAAAACCATTACTTTTTAAAATATTCCAGTGATGTTGCTCTGTATTTTTGTCACTGTAGCAATTTGGTCAAATAATTACTTCGATAATTTTTAAACTATTTATTACAGAAATTTTCAAGCATGAGAAAGTAAAAGAAAGGTATAATGAACACCCATGTGTTGACACTCAGCCTTGGCTGTTTCACAGTTTTTCCATCTTTGTTTCATCTGTGCTTCCACTTCCTTTCCTACCCCTCCACTGTGTCATTTCACCGTAAATACTTTTATTTATACCAGATAAGGTCTTAAATAAGTCACAGCCACAGTAACATTATCACACCCATCAAAAATTAAGAACCATTCTGTAATATCATCTAATACTAAGCTTTTGTTCAAACTTCTACAATTTTCTGAAAAAATGTTTTTTGATAGTTGTCTTATTCTAACCAGGATCTATACTTTGCATATGATTGACATGTCTCTAAATTTCCTCTCCCAATAAATTGAGTCATTGAGCTTATAGAGTTTATCACATCCTAGGTTGAGATGACTGCCTCCTCCTGGGGTTGGGCTTCCTCTCCTTCCCCCTTTCATTCCCCTACATCATTCATTTTCTGAATAAAGCAGGTCATTTTGCCTATAGAATTTACCATGTTTTAGATCTGGCCAACTGCATTCTTGTGGTAATATTTAACATGTTTGTCTGGCCATCTTATTATCCGTATACTATCAAGGGACATTTTTAGACTCCAATGAAGTAAACAGAGTCTCTCCCTGGAAAATAGCAAATATGTATATACACATACATATATACATACATACACACACAAAATATTGAATACAATTTCAAAGGCTTCACAGATACTCTGAAGCTATAGACCCCAGGTTGAAATACCTAATGGAGGTTTGATTAAGCACCTGTGGGCCATGACTTCCTTTCCCATAAATCACAAGGCCCACAATGTCTTCTTGTCCCATTGTAAGATTCGTGTTATCAGCCTTATCCTATGATTATAAAGTTCCCATCAGCCTTTTAAACACTGATTTTAGCAGCCACCGATTATCATTGCCTAGAATGGTTCTTGATTTCATCCAAATTGAAAGTAATTTTTAAACTCTATCAGAAATTTTTCCCTCATCAATTACTAAGTTATCCTAAGTATTTGTACTAGAAAAGTGGGGTTCTTGCTTGGAATATTTTTTATAGTAATAGAAGTTGACAAACAGTGACTACCATTGAAAACAATGGTAGTTAGAAACTTGTTGCATCATTTTGCTAGATTCACAAAGCAGTAACTGATTCACAAAAGCAAAGACTCAGAATCATCCTAAATGCCCATCAGCAGTAGACCAGATAAAGAAAATGTGGTCTATATACACCCCATAGAATGCTATGCAGCCATAAAAATGAATGAGATCATGTCCTTTGTAGCAACGTGGATGGAGCTGAAGACCATTCTCCTAAGTGAACTAATTCTGGAACAGAAAACCAAATACTGTATGTTCTCACTTATAAGTGGGAGCTAAACATTTAGTACATATAGACACAAAGATAAGAATAATAGACGCAAAAGCCTAATTAAAGCTGGATGGTAAGAGGAGCATGAGGATTAAAAAACTACCTCTTAGGCACTGTGCTTATCACCTGGGTAATGAAATCTGAGCACCGAAGCCCTGCAACACATAGTTTACCTATGTAGTAAACTTGCACGTGTATCCCTGAACCTAAAAGTCTAGAAACAAAACCAACAACAACACAAAGCAAGTAACTGAAATAACCAAAGTAAACGGGCCAGAAATTTGAAACCTTTCCTGTGAAATGCCTTTTTACTCCAAGCACTCAAGAGCCATAAAATTTATTTTTATATCCCCACTTTTGCTATTTAAAAGTGAATCTGTATGCTGTCTTTCTTACAGAGAACATTCCAACAAAGAACGTGTGGGTCTCAGTAAAGAAAATTTGTTGCTTAGAGGATGCACCATTAGGAACACCGAGGCTGTTGTGGGCATTGTGGTTTATGCAGGTTGGTTATGTTTCTAATTTCCATTGTCTCCTCTGTGCTTTTCTACAAGTTAACATTTTTCAACTCAAAAATGCAATCTGTCAAGGCAGAAAGGAAATTTTGTCTTGACAAACTTAATTATCGGTCTCTGGTTTTCTAAATGGATCACAAAAGCAGATTAAACTGACAAAATAGATCATGTAACTGAGTTTTATTAAATTGTCTGTCAGAGAGTTTCTTAAATATGATATTTTCTTCCTGGATTTAATCTGTACATTTTCTGTCATACTGCATGTCCTTCATAGGCCATGAAACCAAAGCAATGCTGAACAACAGTGGGCCACGATATAAGCGCAGCCAATTAGAAAGAAGAGCAAACACAGATGTCCTCTGGTGTGTCCTGCTTCTGGTCATAATGTGCTTAACTGGAGCAGTGGGTGGGTAAAATTTGATTATTTGCTGACATCTTTTCACCAAGATATTAAAGTATTTCATTTCAAAATGATATCTGTGAATGTTTTACTCTGGGAAGGGGGATTTTATTTGTCAGTAATGTTTTTCCTCACATCCTTGTCTCTTTCATCCCTGGGCCTGTAAAATATTAGTGTTGACTATATTCATTCATATTTTGCCATAGTACTTAAGAAACCTGGAGAGTGATTTAAAGAGAAAGAGTGAGATGGAAGAATGTATAACCCTTTGAATATGAATTTTCTTTCCAAAAACAAACAATTGGTGTTGAATCAAAATGAATACTCTCATTCTCTCTCCTTCAGGAATAAAGTTTTTTGTTTGCATGCTGTATATTTAGCATCCTTTTGATGTCTGTGCATTTTTTGAAAGGTCATGGAATCTGGTTGAGCAGGTATGAAAAGATGCATTTTTTCAATATCCCCGAGCCTGATGGACATACCATATCACCACTGTTGGCAGGATTCTATATGTTTTGGACCATGATCATTTTGCTACAGGTAATTTTTATTAAGCTTAAGGTAGAATGTTAACATCTTTGCTGCTTAACCAGCTATGTTCAGTTTCGTATCCTTTCTTTAACCTACCTTAACATTTTAAAACTTGTTTGGATCTTCTTAGGTCTTGATTCCCATTTCTCTCTATGTTTCCATCGAAATTGTGAAGCTTGGACAAATATATTTCATTCAAAGTGATGTGGATTTCTACAATGAGAAAATGGATTCTACTGTTCAGTGTCGAGCACTGAACATCGCCGAGGATCTGGGACAGATTCAGTACCTCTTTTCTGATAAGACGGGAACCCTCACTGAGAATAAGATGGTTTTTCGAAGATGTAGCGTGGCAGGATTTGATTATTGCCATGAAGAAAATGGTGAGTGTTGGATTTTCCTGAAAGCCAACCTTAGCATTGGTCTTTCTTAGAAACCACTTAAGTGTTGCATGTCTGACAATTCTGACACAGAAGTGGTTTATTTAAGCATTGGGTACTTATGCTTCCAGGTGGGCTTTAAGCTTCATTGTTTTTCCTTCGAAAGCTCGTATGTTAAAGTCAAGGAGTCTACTGCCATGGTTTCTTTAAAAGTGAAATAAATTACTGGTTGAGTAAAAGTGGTAATTGGAGGGATGAAAATGATATTGGACTATAAATACTTTTGAAAAGCTAATGAAACTATGGACCATTTCTTTGAAAAATATTTTGGAAATAATTCCAAAGGGATTGCAGGCCTCATCGTTTGACCCCTAGGTAACCATTGGTGCTTGATTAAGAATACCTAGTTTAAGCAAAAGGAGCTGAACTTCTGGCTCTGAAGAAGTAAATTTATAAATTCCAAGTTTCCTTTAAAGAGTTGAACTTAATTAATTTTTCAATTTATAAAAGAAATAGGTGCTCCTATGAAAATAATTCATAGTAGTGGACAAAACAGATTAAAAGCCCTACTCTCCCAAGATTAACCACTATTAACAATTTGGTAAATATGCATATTTCTCTATATGTGAACATATATATTTACACATTTTTCCCTTTTATGAATTAGAACATGTAATAGTACTATTGTTGTCAGTTGTTTCTTTTATTCAACAATGTCTTATGGAATTTTTCCTAAGTCAGTTTATATAACTTAAAAATAAGAATATGGTGTTCTACTATATGTGGTTGAACATAGTTTGCTATACTTAATGGTGACCACTTGGTTTGCTAATATAAAAGCGCTGTGGTTAACATCACTTACTCATTCACCAAACATTTTGTGAGCTCCCAATATGTGACATGAGTCCCTGATTGCATGTAACATAGATTTTTTTTTTTTGTCAATCAATGAGAGCATGTAATGTTGCTCAGGTTGGCCTTGAACTCATGACCTCGCCTCCTCAAGCGCCAGGACAACTGGCCGGAGCCACCGTGGCCCCCGTAACATAGATTTATGACAAGAAGATAAACAAGATTAAAATTATGATAAATAAAATTCAGCATGCATTATGCATCTTGGTACATAGATATTTATTCAATTATTTTTATAAGATACATTTTCCTCTAAAATATGGTAATTTACATTCCCATAACCCAGAAAAATAATGCTTGTTTTTCACACCCAGCCATAATGGGATGAAGTTACAGCTTTTTATCTGTGTGATTTTTATAGGTAGGTTAGCACTTCATTGTCTTAATTTGTCTCCGCTTACTAATGAGATCTTTAACGTTTTGTATGTTTTTGGTCATTTGAATTTCCTTGGGAAATTAATTGAATTATTTCCCTATTTGTTAAATGGGTTTTCCTTGTTCTTGGTAATCTGTGGGAGAAATTTTAATCTAAGGTCAGGGTTAATGTTCAGCTTGTATGTTCAGTCTAGACTGTGGCCAGTGTTGATGTTCATTGGTGTACTCATTTAGAACAAGTTCTTAAATGCCTTGAATATCGACCCTGATGTTATATTATCCTTTACTTCTATATGTGACAAATATTTTTCTGATTCATTATTTATCACTGTATTGGTTTTCTATAACTGCGTAACAAATCACCACAAACCACAATGGCTTAAACCAACACAAACATGCTGTCTCACAGTATCTGTAAGTCAGGAGTCTGGGTATAGGATAAGTTCCTTCTCTGCTCAGGGTCTCTCACCAGGTTGAAATAGAGTTGTCTGCTGGGACTGTGATCTTGATGATATTATCCTTGCTTAGCGTACTGATATTTGGCAGGATTCACTGTACTGAAGTTGTAGGACTGAGGTCCAGGCTTTCTTGCTGCTGTCATCCTGGGACTATTCACAGCTCCTAGAGGCTGGCTGCCTGCTATTTCCTGCCACACAGCCTCACCACAGCAAAGCAGTTTGCTTCTTCAAGGCCAGCAACAGAATTTCTTATTTGAATCTTTCTGATATCAGGGAAGCCCTGACTCCTTTTTAAAGAACTAACCTAATGAGATCAGGTCCACCTAAGATAGTTCTTTTTTAGGTTACTCAAAGTCAGCTGATTAATTACATCTGCAAAATCCTTCTGCTTTTGCCACATAGCATAATTTAATCACAGCATAGTCACAAGGTGCATCTACCGTAGGGGAGAGGACTCTTAGAATTCTGCATACCACAGTCTCTAAACTGTGCTTCCAGTGTCTCTTCTTATCAAAACCTTTAGATCTTTGTTACATACATTTGTCAGTTATTATGAATATTATGATTTCTGATGGTAGCATTGAACTTAGACATCCCATCATGCCTGGGACTGTTAAAATATATACTATATTTTCTCCTAGGTACATGTATTTTTAAGTCAACTTTTGTAACTTGTGAGTGTAAGGGATAAAATGTTAAGTATTTATTATGTAATCATCATGCACATGTAAAATGCAGCTAATCATATTGAATTTGTGACACTTTGCATTCTGTTTCATCTTACAATAAAATTTAAAAGCCATCACTAACCTACACCAAACGGAATAGATGACTGTCAGCATTTTAATGCACTTTTGGGGTCCTTTTAACACACACACACACACACACACATATATTTGTTTTTAAGATATGTATGTGCATGTACACATACACTTATGTTTTTGTTTTTTAAAAAGAGATGTCATCACAGTGTGCTTTTACTTTTATAACCATTTTTCTTAAGACTTCATCATTCATTATTCAATCAAATGGAACCATATTAATAAACAATGCTATGCTAAACCTCCATAGTGCATTTGTGAGGTGTTTTCCTGAATTATTTGACCATAGATCCCCATTTCTAGGAAGTGTCTTTCAGCAGCAGTGTTTCATAAAATATACAGTGAGAAGCATTGCTTTACTTTTTTTTGTATTTATAACACAAAATTTTATATTCATAACATTTCAAAGAGCTAATACTAGCCCCCTTCCACTCTAGTCACTGAACATACATATCCCTGCCCAAGTGAGTACTTTTCGTTTATGCCTCCTCATGCAGAAAAGAGACCAAGTGACTGGGAATCAACTGCTATCCTGATTGAATTGTAATTGATCAGCAACCTGTTTGAGAACAGCAGTTCTAGAGGTGCTAACTTTGCCTATGACCACTTCTCTACCATAGACACACCCAGAGCTTCTAGTCTTTTTTATGAAATGGTTTTAAATTAGGCACATGTGTACACACACACATACACACACTCTCTTTCTCTCACACATACACTCACACACTTACACACACACACACACACACACTAGTGGAGACCAGTTCTCTCTAGAAATTAATACTGAGACATATTTTCACTGAAGTGAAAACTATTTTAACAGTATATCTGTGTTTTAATGGCCAGTCCTTTAGGGTTTTCTGCAAAAGTGTTGCCTAGGAGATAATTTGGTGAAGAATACTGCTGCTTGGAAACAACCTGTTACACATGCAGTTGCCCTAAACACATCTGACAACACCACTGTATATTTTAAAACGTTCCAGCTTCGCAATGTGCCCCAGGTACTGGCAGCATCAGCAACACCTGGGCATGTTTTTAAACTGTGGAAGCTGAGACCCCTCTTCAGAAATTCAATTAAATTCTGCATTTTAACAATATCTCCAGGTGATTAATATGCATATGAAAAAATTTTAATAAGCCACTCCATTAAAAGACTGCTTAAAGAGAATGACTTTCTTTTTTTTTTTTTTATTTGAGACGGAATTTCACTCTTGTTTACTCAGGCTGGAGTGCAATGGCACGATCTCGGCTCGGCTCACTGCAACCTCCGCCTCCTGGGTTCAAGCAATTCTCCTGCCTCAGCCTCCTGAGTAGCTGGGATTACAGGCATGCACCACCATGCCCAGCTAATTTTTGTATTTTTAATAGAGACGGGGTTTCACCATGTTGTCAGGATGGTCTTGATCTCTTGACCTCGTGATCCACCCGCCTCGGCCTCCCAAAGTGCTGAGATTATAGGTGTGAGCCGCCACTCCCGGCCATGAGAATGACTTTCTTAAAAATAAACTTTTAAATTTAGGATAGTTTTAGATTTACAGAAAAGTTACAAAGATATCCTGGAGGGTTCCAGCATGCCCTCATGCTGTTTCCCCTGTTGTTATCATCTTGCATGAATCATATGATATATTTATGATAAGTAATGAACGAATGCAGATACATCATTATTAATTAAAACCCATACGTTATTTGGACTTCCTTCATTTTTCCCTAATGTTCTTTTTCTGTCCCAGGTTCCTAGCTTGGATACTGCATAACAGTTATCATTTAGGCTTCTCTAGATGACAGTTTCTCAGATTTTCTTTCCTTATGATAAACAGTTTTGAGTGGCATTATGCTGAGATTTTATAGAATGTCCATCAATTTGGCTTGTCCAGAGCATGCCTTTATGATGTACAATTTGTGAATCTGATTTACATGGAGGCAGTAGCATTGAGCACTTTCCGAGAACAAGGATTTTGGCATCAGGCCTTCTGAGTCTGCATCCCACTTTTACTACCTACAAGCTATGTGGCCCTGGACAACTATCTAATGTCTCTGTGCCTCAATAAAAAGGATCAATGACACTATTGCTCTCACTGGATGGTTAAGAGAATAAGAGAAGATAATTCACATAAAGAATTTACAACAACAAATGACACAAAATGAGTCCCCCTTTTTTTATTATACTTTAAGTTCTGGGGTACATGTGCAGAATGTGTAGGTTTGTTACATAGGTATACACATGCCATTGTGATTTGCTGCATCCATCACCCCATCACCTATATTAGGTATTTCTTCTAATGTTATTCCCTCCCCAACCTCCAGCCCTCTGCTATTCCTTCCCTAGCCCCCACCACCTGACAGGCCCCAGTGTGTGATGTTCCTCAGTGTGTGATGTCCATGTGTTTTCATTGTTCAACAACCACTTATGAGTGAGAACATGTGGTGTTTGGTTTTC